GTGGGCCTCGAAGGAGGAGAAGGATAGGGAGGGGGGGTTTGGGAGGACTCGGAAGGTACTCTGCGGTGACAGGAGCAGACCAACCCCACCACCTTTACGACCGTTAGGCCTGGGTGAGTGGGTCCAGGTGAGACCTCCGTAGGAGAGTGCAGCAGGGGAGGTAGAGTCAGTGGGCTATATCCAGGTTTCTGTGATCGCTAGGAGGTTGAGGGAGCGGGAAACAAAGAGGTCGTGGATGGCGGTAAGCTTGTTGCACACTGATCGGGCGTTCAGGAGTTCATATGAAAACGGGGGGGGGGGGGAGATTTTAGGGAGCAGGGGGACAGATACTAAGTTGCGGGGGTTGCGGCAGGACGTGGAGGCGGGAGGGGTGTTGTGTGGGTGAGGGAGGTGGTGGATGGCCAGGATTCGGGGAGATGTCCCCCGCGGTTAGGAGGAGGAGAAGGGTGAGAAAGGTGGCATGGGAGCGGGATGTGCAGGAGCGTGAGAAACTACTAGTGGAGGTGTTCGGGTCAGTGGGAGAGTGGAGTAATAGGAGGAGGTGGTGGGTGCCGTAGAGGGGCAAAGGAAGTAGTGAGGACACAATATACAAATGTTTGGGAGGAGCAGAGGGATATAGTGAATGGATTTTGGGAACGGAAGAGAGGAAAATGAGAAGGAGTGGAAGAGGCATTTTGGGGAGGTGATGAGAGCAGTAGTAGGGAGATGATAGCAATGAGGGGGAGATGTACAAGTTTTGGGGTGGAGCAGATAGTAGTAATAGATAGTAATATGATAAGGAGAAGAGGGGGCGTATTATATAAAGGTACACGGAGTGGGACTCAGGTATGTAAGAGAGGTTTCCCAGGGTGTATGGCTGCAGTCTGTCCAGCGTGCAGGAATCATAAACAAACCAAGAGCCTTGTGTGAATTAAATAGAGGAGTGATGAACGGGCATATAATTCATATAATTCAGAAGGTTATAATGAGAAAAATTAGATTGAACTCATGGATTTTATACATAGTTGTCTATGGAATGTTGCTTACCCTTCTTTTTCTTAGTGCTCCAAGCTGGACTTCTCATCTAGCTGAATTAAATTCTATCTCATGAGTTAGAACACAATAAACAGAGAGATAATAGCCTGCCCCACCTTTGAACAAGCCGCCTTTCTGTCAAATCCATCTGTAAGCTCATCTTTCTCTTCACCATTTTCAGGCTTTTACAGTTACTTAAACAAGCACTGATTTAAATTCTCCTGATAAAGTATTTTTCTCTACATCTACATTTCTGTTTCCCCATCATTTGATTTCATATAATTTATTGTCCATTTATAAATGTAACTGTCAGAATGGATGTTATCCCAACATGGGTTTTCCCCCTCTCTGTCTCTCTCCCTTTATTCCAGCAACATAAAGGATCCTTTGAACTGAAAATTACATAAAACACAATAATGGCTGCAAAATGCAGATGAGATTTAAATCCATCCGCACTGGAGTACATTAGCCCTAAGGAAACTGTTACAGTGTGTAAAAGCTGACAAATGCATATGTCCTGGATTTGTGACATGGTACTGGATACGTTCTAAGATCTGAGCCCATCAAAGTTACCTTGGTAAGATTTAAAGAAATCCTTTCCAGAATCATTATCTGTCAATTTTATTGTCATCATTAATAAGTTATTATTTCTTTCCAATTACTATATAATTGTAATTTTTTTCTCCATAAATGAATTTCAGAATAGCCCCCATTGTATGTGTATATTTGATTTCAACTGTTCACAATTTATCAGTGTTACAGTATATAGAATTGTGTATGTTTTGTGCCCTTCATCAGTGTAAGCTATAATACATGGAGCATTTTATAAAGCAGTGAATTTGACATTCACTAAACACTCACTACAAGTGATTCAATCACTGTGATTTGAAACATGTGCACCAGGAGAATACATCTGCAGCAAATGTTTGGTGAATGTCACATACACTGCTTTATAAATATGTCCGCATGTACGCCTTCTCCAATACATCATACAATCTTCTCCACACTTTTTCCTAGAGATGGTCTTGCTTCATTAAGATAGACAAAACATAAACATAATGGAAGTATTTTTGGTTTAACTCACTTTTATGTATAGATTAATAGCTTCTTTATTTTGTATTAACATGTTTTGTATTAAATATAAACTTTCTTCAGGATTTCACTGTAAAAACAAACAGGACAGATTGTGTGAATGGAATTCATTCCCTGCATTAGGGTTCCTTGTAGCTTAAAGTGATATTAAACCCAAAACCAAAAATGGAATAAATTGCAGATTAGCAATCCTTAAATACCACATATAAGTGGCTGCATTCGTTTTCTTTTTAGGCATTTTTTTCAGCCAGTAAATATTATTTTTCAACTTCCTTTAACAAAGCAAACTGTCCAGCAAAATTGGCAGTTTAAGGGTTGTTGAAACAAACATAGAAGAGTGATGGCAGAAAAAAGACTAAGTGGTCTATCGAGTCTGCACCCATTTTTATTAAAATATTTACATTTTTGTGACTTCTTTGTCTGAGTATAGACCTATGTTTGTCCCAAGCATATTTGAATCCACTTAATGTTGAATCACTCACTATCTCTGCTGGAAGTCTATTCAAAACACCAACTACCCTTTTGGTAAAATAATACTTTCTACGGTTAGGTCCGAACTAGTTTGAGGTCATATCCCTCCTAGATTGTAAGCTCGAAAGAGCAGGGCCCTTGAACCCCTCGTGTATTGTTTTGTTACTGTATTGTCTCGTGTACTGTCCCCCACTATAATGTACAGCGCTGAGCAAACCTTTTAGCGCTATATAAATACTGTATAATAATAATAATATCCCTGTGTACTTGATCTTGGCTTCATATTGAAAATACTGCCTTCTTGAACCTTATTCCTTCTTTGATATATTTAAAGGTTTCATTCATGTCTCCCCTTCCCCTTCTTACCTCCAGACTGTATATATTAAGTTCCTGAATTCTGTCCTGATATCTTTTCTCCTTCAAACCTTTCACCATTTTTGAGGTCTCCAGAACTGGACACATTATTCTAAATGAGGTCTAAGGCTAGCCATAGAGGGAGCAAATTTCCTTCCTGGAACTTCCTGAAACCATTGTGTTCTCCCAGCAGGGGGGAGTCGTCCTCACCCCCAGCTATAGCAGCTATAACAGTCACTAGCAATAATTGCATAGAAAATCCAGCAAATTGGTTGTATCCAATCAATCAGCTTGGGTACATTCAGCCTGTCCAAACATTACAATCTTTGCAGGTTCCTACTGAACCGGTCAAGATTCGAACCGTCTATGGCCGGTTTTACTAAATATCTATGTAATGAGATAGGGACCTCCTTCCTCCTGCTGATGACCCCTCTAGTGATGCTTCCTAGAATTCTATAAACTTTTCCCACTGCCTGGCCACACTGTTTTCTCATTTTGAAATCATCTGAAGTAAGTACTCCTAAGTCTTATTCCTCTGTAGTGCTAGCTACAACCATGTCTAACAAACCATTCAAAGCTAACAGGGGTGCTTACAATTGTCAGGTTTTATTTATTGTAAAACCTTTATCCCAAAAAAACTTCTACTTCAACTCCTTAAAAATTGTTAGCTGGAGTTCAACTTTAATTTAATTTAATAGTTAAGTCCATCTAAATCTGTACATCTAATAGTACCCTTGCTCCAGATTGATAATGCTGCTGTCCAAAGGTGATTCCATTGCTTTACCAATGGGGTGGAGACATTCTAAGACAGGAACTGAGTTACTGGCCAGATCACCAGGTGAAAATAAATAATTAGTAGGTTGCAATACATACATTTTTCATTTGTTTGTGTTTAACTGCTTTCTTACCATGCTATAGCCAAAAGACAGTGTGGCTCTGTTGTTCCAGAAGGGCATCCATGGACGTCCTGATCACAATGTAAACACACTTGCCGGTTAGCGGCAGTACTATCCTCATGCGCCATCACAGCGTGAGGATAGCAAAGCCGGTAACCGGCAAGTTTGACAGGGACATGTACACAGATAACCAGGACATTGATTTACACGTACATGAACTTTAACCACATCCTTACAGCACTATAGCCGAATGACGGCTACAGCGCGGTTGTCCAGTTCTGGGAGGGCGATCTCCACTCTAATTCATTCCAAAGGTGTTCTATCGGGTTGAGGCCTGGACTCTGTGCAGGCCAGTCAGGTTCCTCCACCCCAAACTCGCACATCCATGCCTTTATGGACCTTGCTTTGTGCACTGGTGCGCAGTCATGTTTGAACAGGAAGGGCCATCCCCAAACTGTTCCCACAAAGTTAGGAGCATGATTTTGTCCAAAATGTCTTGTTATACTGACGCCTTAAGAGTTTCCTTCACTTGAACTAAGGGGCCAACCACTGAAAAACAACCCCACACCATAATCCCCCCTCCACCAAACTGTACACTTGTCACAGTGCAGTCAGGTAAGTACAGTTCTCCTGGCAAAAGCTAAACTCAGACACGTCCATCGCATTGCCAGACAGAGAAGCATGATTCGTCACTCCAGAGAACATATCCCCACTGCTCTAGAGTCCAGTGGCGGCATCCGACACTTTGTGTTTCTCTTGGTGAAAGGCTTGTGTAAGGCTTGTATGCAGCTGCTCGGCCATGGAAACCCATTCTATGAAGCTCTCTATACACTGTTGTTGTGCTAATCTGAAGGCCACATGAAGTTTGGAGGTCTTTAGCTATTAACTCTGCAGACATTTGGCAACTTCTGTGCACTGTGTGCTTTAGCACGCGCTGATCTCTCTGTCATTTTACGTGGCCTACCACTTCGTGACTTAGTTACTGTTGTTCCCAGTTGCTTCCACTTTGTTATAATACCACTATCTGTTGACCGTGGAATATCAGTAGCAAGGAAAGTTGGACCTATTGCACAGGTGGCACCCTATCACGGTACCAAGCGACCCATTCTTTCACAAACATTTGTAGAAGCAGTCTGCATGCCTAGGTGCTTGATTTTATACACCTGTGGCCATGGAGGTGATTGGAACACCTGAATTCAGTGATTTGGAGGGGTGTCCCAATACTTTTGGCAATATAGTCTATGTTTGGTTCATCCCATAAGGTTCTTGTTTTACTACATGGTGCAAAGTTACCTTGACTTGGCATACGTGTATAAAAACACCGACTGTTATTCATGTATATAAGATTTAATGTAAAATGTCAGAAAAGAGAAGACTGATAGTTACCACTTTTAAATTAGCCGCTTAAGGGAATTTCCACACTAAAAAACAATCTACCTTTTTTTCTGACAGTACAAGTAGTATCATTCATGGCAGTGCTTGACATACTTGCATTGCTCATTTTACTTGAAAATATGATTTTACTTCCCACATAATGGCAAGTATGACCTGCTATTTTAAATGGATCATCATCATTTCATAAGACTGATTTAATAAAGACGTTAAAATTCTTCATTGAAAAAAATTTTGAATAATCACTTCAATTATTCTTTTATGTGAATAGAAATGTGCTTTTCATGTGACTGGATAAATAAAGAGACTCATACTCAATTTTTTCAGCAAAGATTTTAAACTACTTTTGTAAATCAGACTCAGTAAGTGGAAAACAAAAACTTTCTGAGGGTCAGGGACTGGCCATCTAAGCTGCTACTTTGATAGATCAGAATCAGAACTTTGCACTTTTCGTAAAAAAGAAATTCAGGATATGATAGAACTTTTAGTAGAGAATGTGAACAGATATCATGAGCATATGGGATATACCTATGCCTGATCAATAAAAAAATACACAAAACTCTACCTACAGTGGGGATCGAAAGTTTAGACACCCCAGCTAAAAAATTTGTATTAGTGTGCATAAAGAAGCCAAGGAAAGATGGAAAAATCTCCAAAAGGCATCAAATTACAGATTAGACATTCTTATAATATGTCAACAAAAGTTAGATTTTATTTCCATCATTTACACTTTGAAAATAACAGAAAACAAAAAAATGGCGTCTGCAAAAGTTTGGGCACCCTGCAGAATTTATAGCATGCACTGCCCCCTTTGCCAATGCTGAGACCTGCCAGTGTCATGGATTGTTCTCAATCATCGTCTGGGAAGACCAGGTGATGTCAATCTCAAAGGTTTTAATTGCCCAGACTCATCTGACCTTGCCCCAACAATCAGCACAATGGGTTCTTCTAAGCAGTTGTCTAGAAAACTGAAACTGAAAATAGTTGACGCTCACAAAGCTGGAGAAGGCTATAAGAAGATAGCAAAGCGCTTTCAGATGTCAATATCCTCTGTTCGGAATGTAATTAAGAAATGGCAGTCATCAGGAACAGTGGAAGTTAAAGCAAGATCTGGAAGACCAAGAAAAATATCAGACAGAACAGCACGCGGGATTGTGAGAAAAACAATTCAAAACCCACGTTTGACTGCAAGATCCCTCCAGAAAGATCTGGCAGACACTGGAGTTGTGGTACACTATTCCACTATAAAGAGATACTTGTACAAATATGGTCTTCATGGAAGAGTCATCAGAAGAAAACCTCTTCTACGTCCTCACCACAAAAATCATCGTTTGAACTTTGCAAATGAACATATAGACAAGCCTGATGCATTTTGAAAACAAGTTCTGTGGACTGATGAGGTTAAAATTGAACTTTTTGGCCGGAATGAGCAAAGGTACGTTTGGAGAAGAATGGGCACAGAATTTAATGAAAAGAACCTCTGTCCAGCTGTTAAGCATGGGGTTGGATCAATCATGCTTTGGGGTTGTGTTGCAGCCAGTGGCACAGGGAACATGTCACGAGTAGAAGGAAAAATGGATTCAATAAAATGTCAGCAAATTTTGGATGGTAACTTGATGCCATCTGTGAAAAAGCTGAAGTTAAAGAGAGGATGGCTTCTACAAATGGATAATGATCCTAAACACACCTCGAAATCCACGGGGGATTACATCAAGAGGCGTAAACTGAAGGTTTTGCCATGGCCTTCACAATCTCCTGACCTCAACATAATTGAAAATCTATGGATAGACCTTAAAAGAGCAGTGCGTGACAGACAGCCCAGAAATCTCAAAGAACTGGAAGACTTTTGTAAGGAAGAATGGGCAAAGATACCTCAAACAAGAATTGAAAGACTCTTGGCTGGCTACAAAAAGCGTTTACAAGCTGTGATACTTGCCAAAGGGGGCAGTACAAGATATTAACTCTGCAGGGTGCCCAAACTTTTGCAGACGCCATTTTTTTGTTTTCTGTTATTTTGAAAGTGTTAATGATGGAAATAAAATCTAACTTTTGTTGACATATTATAAGAATGTCTAATCTGCAATTTGATGCCTTTTGGAGATTTTTCCATCTTTCCTTGGCTTCTTTATGCACATTAATACAAATTTTTAGCTGGGGTGCCCAAACTTTCGATCCCCACTGTATATTATATTGCACAAAGGTTACAATTAAACATGTAAAACCAGTCAAAGCAGAACTCCAGACAAACTATTTTCAGCCATGGTTAGAGTATAGAAGGGTTTTGTCAGGTTTTTCTTGGCTGCCAGGCTGTCTGTGTCCTATACTGCCGAGATTTCCTTTCACTTCCTGGAGAATGGTGTCAATTGAAATCAGGGGAGGACTGACAACTCATGGGGCCCCCGGGCAATAAGGGATCATGGGGCCCCTGTGACCTTGCCCAAAATCAAAAAAGCCTATGAAAAAGGTACCAGGGGCATCTCATGGGGCCCCCTACTGAGCCCGGGCCCTCGGGCAGTGCCCCAGTTTCCAAATGGTCAGTCCACACCTGATTGAGATAGGACGTGATAATGCAGTGTTCATAAAACAGAATCAAAATAATGATAACAGTCCAGAATGTGTCTCTATAATAGAATGTCTATTCAAACAAAAAAAAGTTCACTGTGAATTAAATATGAAATAATCTTCATATGGTGTAGAAAACTCCTCCAAGTGAAAAGAAAAAAACAACACACTCTGCGCTCCCACTCCAGTGCCTAAATCAAAGGCTTACCAGAACGGTATGATCCTCACACTGAGAAGTCATATAGCGCTTGAAAGTGATTAGCTCAGATCCTGGATATATGATGTTGCCACTTCAGTCCAACATATATATCGACAGCCACTTAGGGAAAAATATATGAAAAAAGCGCAGAAAATCAATGGCAGCCAATATTTATTAAACTCACATGTATAAAAAAGATATCATTTTTGACAAAATATGTAAAGCCCCCTTTCCACACTTGTGACATCATTACAAAATCGGGAAGCTATCTGCCCATTACCTTGGGGATTTTGACTTGTACAGTGCTGTCTATGTTTTTATATATGTGAGTTGTATTGTTTTTAATAAATATTGGTTACCATTGATTTTATACCATGTGGAGCGTTTCTATTTTTTCATGCATGAGCAGCTGTTGAGTGGCTGTCAATATATATGTTGGAGTGAAGTGGCGACATCATATATCCAGGATCTGAGCTAATCACTTTCGAGTGCTATATGACTTCCCAGTGTGAGAGCCATATCCTTTCAGTAAGCCTCATATTTAGGCACTGGTGTGGGAGCACGGAGTGCATAGTTTTTCTTTCACTTGGAAGAGTTTTTACATCATATGAGGATTATTTCATTTGTAATTTACAGTGGACTTTTTTTTCTTTGCATGAACATTCTATTATAGACATACATTCTGGACCTTTATCAGTTTTGTTTCTTCGTTTTATGAGCACTACACTTCAGTTTGGGTTTATTAAATATTATCATTTTGTATCTAATGGTGTGCCAGCTGCTGGTTTAGGAAATTTACCCTTTTATCACAGTGTTTTTAACAGGGTGTTAAGGGAGTACTGATAAAAGTAACATAACTACAAATAATACCCTCATCCATCTGTGTAATAACTACTGTTATTAAAATAGATATTCTCAGGTCTCTTTTCTACACTTGCTATAGAGGGGGGTCTACTCCTCAGCCAACTGATCATGTAACTTGACCTTTGCCAGATTTGGCTACACATGCTTAGGAGCACGCATAAAGGATTGGACTGTTCAGCTATTGAACTAAATGAACAAATTCAAATGGTTGTCAGTAGTGTAGCTGTAAAATCACTGTCAAATGTGATTATTGTTAGACTGCATTTTCCCCATGTGATTTCATATTGCACTGTTCCCCAAATGCTAGATGACATCTGCACAATTTCATCACAATGAACTTATCCAATGAAATGTTAGTGCATAGGTTCTTCAATCAGATCATCTGACCTTTGATGTGGCCCAAATAAAAGAATGAGTTTTTATGAACTCTGAGCAGTATGTTCATATTCATCCCTAAATAAAGCTGATATAAATATGGTGACAAAATGTTACAATATGTTTCCTTATACAGCAAGGCATACCTCCCAACCTCATTAGGATTGTTTTTTCTTCTTTTGCACCTAAATCTCTTTGTTCCTCTTTCCTCCTTAACTGTAATTTTTTTATTAGATAATTATACCTTTCTGAAATTCCTTTTAGAGTTGTGTCAACATGCCTTTATTTGATAAATATAGATTTTGCATTTCTAAACAACCCTTTAGGAGTACAAAACTTGAAGCAGGTCAAATGCAGCTCCGAAAGAGGTCAACTGCAAGACAAATGCAGCGGTTATTGTATTCTACACTCACCGGCCATCTTATTAGGTACTACTGTTCAATTGCTTTGTAACAGGCTGGTCTGAGTTTTTCAAAAACCAAAGCTGATCTTCTGGGATTTTTACACACAACCATTTCTAGGGTTTACAGAAAACAGTCCAAAAAGAGAAAATATCCAATGAGCAGCGGTTTTGTGAGCAAAAATGCCTTGTTGGTGTCAGAGGTCAGAGGAGAATGGGCAGACTGGTTCGAGATAATAGAAAAGCAACAGTAACTCAAATAACCACTTGTTACAACCAAGGTATGCAGAATACCAGCCCACGCAGATGGGCTACAGCAGCAGAAAACCACAATGAGTGCCACTCCTGAGAACAGGAAACAGACTACAATTTGCACAGGCTCACCAAAATTGGACAGTAGAAGATTGGAAAAACCTTGCTT